ACCCTTGCCCCTTCGGCCCATCCTGTGCGACTGTCGCTGGCCACCCCGCTCGAAAACGCCAACCTGGCCCTCCAAGGCCCTTGCGACTTGACTTTAGCAGGGTTCTCCAGCTGGCCGTGCCTCGCGAGTCGGTTGGCGGGGTCGGCCGCGGGGTTCAGGCAGGCCCCGAGGGGCGGCCCCAGCGCCCCGTTATGCTTCTGGGCGCCTCGGTCTTGACAGCCGCACGCCGCCTCCGAGGCTTGGTGGGTCCGGAGCTCGGGGCAGGGCTCGAGGAGTTCTCTCTGGCTGATTCCTGTCTTGCTTGCAAAGCGTGGCTGGAGCGTTACAGGCGTGAAAGCTCATGCACAGCCATCCTTCCTTCCGAGTCGTACACCAGGCGGTGCGTGGACAGACAGGGCGCGGAAAATGCAATAGACAAAACACTTGGAGAATCACATTGAGAGAATGTGATGGCGCAGCGTGCGCTTCCAGCCCGATACGGACTGCGCTGCGTCTACCGTCGCGTGAACACTGCCGAAAATTCCTAAGGATTGCTTCAACATGATGGGAGCGAACTCTCTGCTCGGCGCGCCTCTGCGCCTCACTCCGGCAGCAGTCGCCGGCGTGAAAGAGTTTGGCGCGAACGTGGTGCGGCGAAGCAAGCTGTTCTCACTTGAGCGCAGCACGTCGCCGAACAGAAGCATCTGCCGGTATAGTAGCAGGGTACTGGCACCCGTGTGCTGCGCAAGCCTCAGCACTTCTGCGTTTGGTACTCTGGACAACCATGACGGCTTGATGCCAATGATCTTTCTGAGGCACCTGTTCTGGAAGCCGTCCAGACGCCGTGTTTGGGCTTTGTTCAAGCATGCCCCAGCGAGCCCGTAAAGCAATTTCGATTCCACCACTGAAGAGAAAATGCGTAACTTGCGTCTCCAAGTCAGAGAGGAGAGGAGAGTCAAAGTCAGAGCGACGAAAACACCCTTTTTGCTTCGCCGATCTTGCGCCCCAGTTCAGGCCCTGCGTCTGCGTCGGCTGACAGATGCGCACCTAAGTACTGAAGCTGCTTGACTTGCTTGAGCGCCGTGCCATCGGGTGCACAAACGTCTCCTTTCGCCCCCGCGGCAAGGACCTGGAACTTGTCCCAGTGCAGCTCCATGCCGTACCTGCGACCCGCGTCAGAAATTGCTCTCAAGTACTCATTCAAGGATGCGTCATTTGTCCCAATAAGCAAGGTGCCGTCCGCGTAGACGCACTCGCACAAGTCCCCCTTCGCGTAAGCATCCTTCGCTCCACCTTCCAAGAGGCCGACAGCGTCGTGAAGTAGCACTGCCATTACGAGGATAAACAGAAGTGGGCCGAGCGTGCACCCTTGAGAGATGCCGGACAGCTGCGGCCTCGGAGCAGAATCGCCACCGCATTCGCTGACGACAAACAGCCTCTCAGTCATCATCACGCGTATCATTGCCAGAAACTCTTCTGGGATCCCTAGCCTCCTGAGCGCGCCCAGCAAGCTGTCAATGTGGATGCTGTCGAACGCTTTCTTCCAGTCCAGGGCGACGAGAGTAACAGAGCCATTTTTCTTCGCCCTCGCCAATTCTATGTTGCGCCTGGCTGCGTAAATGGCGTGTTCCGCACTGCACCCAGCCCGGAAGCCAAATTGGGTTCGCCACAACCTGTCGTCGATGCCAGCGTCCAGCAGCCTTGCCTTCAACATCGCGGAGAAGACTTTCATTGCGACGCACTGCAAAGATAAGGGGCGATAGTTGTCGCAATTGGCAGGGCCCCCCTTCTGGTATAGCAGGCATACTTTTGAAGCGCACCATGAATGTGGGACTTCCTTGCTGTTCCACGCTTCGTTACATATGGCTAACAGCCACTGCAATTGCCCAGGCTCGTCGGCCAGCGCCTTGTACACCTCTGCTGGGATGTCTTCAGGTTCGCAAATTTTCCCAGAACGCATGCGTTGCAAAGCTTTCCGGAGTGAACATGCCCAAATTGATATCCAAGCGAGGGTGTATAACGTCCTCCGTATTCGGCGTAAGAGTGACGTGTCGCACATGCCACTGGATCGTGTTGAGATGTTCTGCGAACGCCTCTGCACGCTCGTCTGTCGCGACGGGGGCGCCCGCGCTGTTATTCAACCACCCTTGAGGTCTCACTTTCGGCTTCGTGATGTTTTTGATGCAACTCCAGTCGCCAGAAGCAGTAAGATCTTCCAACTATCTGGCAAGATCTTGCTTTGCAGATCGTTTGACAGACTTCCTCAAAAGGAGTTCTGCTTCCCAATCTCCGTCGACGCGTGCCTGCCGCCGGTCATCCAACAGAGACAGCGTGCGCTGGGTGATCCACGGCTTGTTCGGCGCGCGCACCATGTCTGGCACGACGGCCTCCACAGCAGCCCAAACAGAGCTCGAAGTAGCTTGCCAGCGCTGGGACAGAGAGCCACAGCGAGACAACGGCATAGTCAATCGTGAAACCTCCTGCGACAAAGACTTCCGTCCAGCAGGTGACAGGAGCTCCCTCCAATCTTTACGCTTGCGCCTCTGCTTCGTCTCCTGTCTGGGCTCTGTCTCGCCGGTCATGAACTTTGCCAACACTGGGTAATGATGAGATGCGAGGGTGCTCGTCGTGTCACTCCGCATGTCCATTAGGTTTCTCTCCAGAGGCGCTGGGACCACAAGCAAATGGAGGGCGTTGTAACCGTTAGCCGTGATGGGGCCACCAGGCCGGACACAAGGCTCGTGGTATGTTGCCTTGAACTCTGGTGGGAGATTGAAAACGGTGTTCGCGACGATGAAGTCAGAATCCGCACATAGCTCCATGAACAAATCACGGTTTGGGACCTCTGCTTTCTTCACCGCCTCCAGGCCGAACGAATGCTCGCCCATAATGCCCTCCTCTCCAGCACGTCTTCCACCAAGTCTGGCGTTCCAGTCGCCGAACGCCAGCCGATGGCCATAACCAGGGAGTGCCGCCAAATGACGGTGTAGGCGGTCGTAAAAGCTCAGCTTCTCATCGGTCGGCCTGTCGTTGTGCGGGGCGTACACAGTGCATAGCGCGAGCCGCCCAGCGCCGGCGCGGATCTTGATGGAGGCAATGCGGCTGTCCAGCTGCCAGTAACCGCACACTCGCGGACGAAAACTTGGAGCGATAACAAAACCTACACCAGCCCATTCGGGATGCGCCCCTGCCGTGCCTGACAATACCACCGAGTAGCCGTCTTCGGTGTCATAATGATCGGAATTCGGCTTGCGTGTCCCCTGTAGGCACATGATATCGACGGACTGCGAACTCATGTCATTGCAAATCTCAACTAATTTCAACTCGGTCATACCCTCAACGTTCCAAGAACCAACACGTACAAAACTGTCACGGCCCATATTGAATATGTCCGCGTCCTCGCGGCTCTCCGCCGCGAGGGGTGAAACTGAAACCTTTTGTCTGTCTGCGCACCGCCGTGGCCCCCACATGGAGCCACCCCCCTTCCCCTTGCCTTTACTCTCGCTGAATGCTTTCGCCCTCTCGAGCTTCGCCTGGGCCGCCGTGGTGATCTCGGAGAGCTCACCTGACGACTGCAATGCATCCCACTTCCCCCATTCCCGGTCGACCCACTTCAGCTCGAGACGGAAATCCTTCACCACCGTCTTGGCCACCACCGCCCCTGCAACCGTCAGTGAGAAATCGGCCGTGTTGACCTTGATGCACGCCTTGTTAAACCCCCACTTCGCCAGCATCCGGCGCAACCCGAAGAGGACCCCGCGCTGCGTGCGGATGTCGATGGGGAAGTCCGGCTTAGCCCAGACGGTGCTTCCTAAACTCCCGGGCTGCCTCTTCGCGAAAGTGTCGACCGTATCGAGGAACACCTGGCGCTCTGAAACGGACCCGAATTTGATGAAAAACACGCCCTTGAACTCACTCTTGCAGAACATGTAGCTGGGCGTGGGAGCCGGGACATTGAAATCAGTACATAAGGTAATAGCCCACTTAGCTGCCTCATCAAAGGTCGTCGCGTTGGGCACGTTCCCAATGACAGCAACGGCAGATGATGGATTGGACGTTGAAGCTACGTTTCTCGGAGTCATGCACTGCGACAAAGTCTCCTCGATCATCTTCGCCACGTCATCTTTGGTGATGGACGTCTCCTGGAGCTTGTTGACCTTGTCTTCCACGCTGCTGACGGTCAAGCTCGTCTCCACTGCGGCCTGCTTCGCGGACGTGGCCATCTCCTTCGCATGCTTCGCCTCATTCAGGGCCTCCCTGCTCTCGCGAGCCATGCCCCGCACCTCCTTCCTGAGGTCTTTCATGTCCTTCATCATTGCCTGCATCATGTACATCATGGTCGCCTCCACCTCGCCTGAGGCAGCCGCCGGACGGTCGTCATCGTCCAAGCCGTCCATTTGCTGCAGGGGGGATTCGGTGCGGGTCTGCTTCCGCTCACCACCGAGAGGAGTGCCAATGTCGTAACGCTTCATGTCACCAGTCAAGAGAACACCGGAAGGGAAATCGAGACACAGAGTAATGGGTACAGCGCAAAGGATGTAATGTAATGGGATATGTGACCTTGAGCTTGAGCCAGTTGCTACCCTTGAGCCAAGACGCTTGAGCCATGCACAGCCATACGAACACAAAAGACAAGAAGGGGGCCAATGGCACCGAAGTGGGACTCGTCATCACCGTCAGTATCATCATGAGCACAACCATAGTTACCACCATGCTCAGCATCACCACCACCCACCACCACCACACCATCATCATCACCATAACCACCACCACCACCATCATCACCACCACCACCACCACCACCATCACCACCACCACCACCATCCTCATCCTCATCCTCATCCTCATCTTCATTATCATCCTCATCCTCATCCTCATCCTCAGCCTCAGCCTCCCCCTCAGCCTCAGCCTCCCCCTCATCCTCATCCTCATCCTCCTCCTCCTCCTCCTCATCCTCATCCTCCTCCTTATCCTCATCATCACCGCGGTCTCCCCCTCCCCAGGCAGAGGCGGCCGCGGGCCTCCTCTCCCGCCGCCGTCGGGCTGCTGGGCGCCGCCCGGGTGCGGGCGCCTGCAGGGAGTCTCCACAGCGATGCCCTCCCGGTGGTACTGCGCCTGGCGACGAGGGCGACGACGACGACGACGAGGACGACGACGAGGACGACGACGGCGACCCTGAGATCTGGACGTCGCACGTTGTGCGGAATGGACAATGCTGCCCGGTCTCGGGTCCCAGGACCATCACGGACCGATCTAGCCCGCAAAGTGCCGCAGGAAGATGGGGTCCAGGGCTCTGGTCGAGTTCTCTGCGACGTCGCATTTTTTGTGACGTCCGATCTCAGGGGACGGAGAGGAGTACGAGGAGGAAAAAGAAGCGGACGAAGAAGACGGCGACGAAGACAACATTGACCACGACGAAGAGAAGACGAACACGGGAGGGAGCACGAAGAAGAGGGCGAGGAAAAGAGAGAGGAAGGGGAAGGGATACGAGGGGCGAGATGGTGATCCGCCTGGTGAGGGATAACGAGAGGGGAGGAAGGGGAGGCAGATGCGAAAAGGGGAGCGAAAAAGAGAAGGGGAGGGACGCACGGTACGCAGACGTCCCCCCTTTCGCTCCTCTGCCCCCCCGTCTCCCCTTCCCATACCTCTCCACCCCCTCCCCCTCCGCTACCCATGCTCACTCCCCCCCTCGATCTCATAGCCCCCATCGGGGGGCGTCAACTGGCCACCTCACCGAAAATAGCCGGGCCGATCCTGGGCCTAGGAGGGGCCTGGCAAGAATTGATGAGGCAGTCAGTTGACGCTCCCTGACACGATCCCTCCAGTTCCAACCACCCCCACGCGCACAAACATACACACACATAGAGAGAGAGAGAGAGACACACACCACGCCCAACGCATTCCCAAGGACGACATCCAACAACGACGGCGACAGGAGCTTTACACAAGTATCGTGTAAAAAACAGCTGGAGGAAGGCCATGGGAAAGCACCTTTTGTCACATCGCCAGGGCTTGACCAGCCCTGACGAAGGCCAGCGACAGGGCTGAAGAGGGGCCAGGGGCCCTCCGCAGACCCAGATGGGCCATCAAGGCCTCAGGACCCTACCCATGCCGAGGCCATCGAGGCCATCAGATCGAGGCCATCGAGAGGCCAGAAGGAGCCCTCAGGCCGAATGCCGAAAAACCCTGGAAGGACAAGCATACATAAAAACACACTGCGCCTGCACTGCAAGCACGGTGCCGCATCGAGCCAGCGGTCGGGATGGCGCACTCTGCTCTGAAGCAGCCCGCAACCTGCAGGCCCTTGAGCTCGACGTCCAGCGCGTCCTCCACCGGCGCAGCGCCTCGGTTTTCTGGCCACACCGCGGCACAGCAAGGAGAGGGACCGAGGAGGGCACCGCAACAGATGGACGGACCCACCGCTCACCTGACCCTTGGCAAGAATGACCTTTCGTGCACGGCTTTAAGAAACCGCGGGGGAGGGGCCAAATCCAAGCACGCCAGCCAGTTCTGGGAATACTCCACTGGACCCGCGCCCAAATGTCACTCCAGCGAAGGGTCACTCCCACGCGCAGCCGATTCAGCCCTTCCCGCCCATGTACTATCTGAGCTTCGTTATTTCGCCGCTCATGCAACGAATTGCACGATTACACCGACATGGGGCCCCTGGACAGCAACGCTGCGCGGGAAGGCGCAGGGTGCCTGAAATCTAAGCACGGCGCGGGCATGGCACGGCGCATGCTTCGCATCATGGGCTTTACACGCGACGCGAACATGGCAAGGCCACGACGGGAACCGCTCGGTAAAGCCTGTACTGGAGGAGGTAGGCAACGTTGACAACGTACCCTCTGCCAGCTGCTCGCCCTATTTGGGCCCGTGTCCACTGCAGCGTTTCCTCCTCAAGTTCAGAACGTTTCCCTCAGCTCCGAAATCGTGCTGGCTGTCGCGAAGAAGCTGACCTCGTGTCAGTTCCCGGTCCTGCTATGTTTCTTCTTGTTTTTCCCTTCCTCGCCCCTTGCCTCCGAGGGGCGCGTGACCGCCAAACGCCGAGTGGCGCACACCCCACGGCCGCGCACCCATCTGCTCCACCTCCCTGTGCTCTCCCGATCCCTGGAGGGCAGAGGGTACGGAGGGACCATTTCCGGGGGGGAACCATCGACCTGAAATCGGCGAGACATCGCCAATAGACAAAACGGCAGGCCCCCGACAACGAATCCTCACGGCCGTTGGCGGGGCGGGGCTATCGGGCCCGTATTGGCGATCAACGGGCGATTACTAGTCGATGCGTCCCCCCCCTGAACCTACATGCCCCCCGATCACTGCCTCTGACTTCTCATCTCGCCGTCTTTCTCGTCCTTTCTTTGAGGTGCACCCTGCCGTTGGCACCCAAGGGAATGGCGCCTGCCACCTTCGTGCTGAGAGAAGTTTCCCGATGGGGCCTGCGTTTTTTAGTCAGCGGCCGCAAGACGAGGAGGAGGAGGAAGAGGAGGAGGGGGAGGAAGAGGGGAGGGGGGCGGGGAATCGGAGGAGGGGGAGGAGGAGGAGGAGGAGGAGTAGGAGGAGGAGGAGGAGGAGGAGGAGGAGGAGGAGGAGGAGGAGGCGGAGGAGGAGGAGGAGGAGGAGGAGGAGGAGGGGGTGAGGAGGTTCATGCGGCGGTCGAGCAGCGGCGGGGCGCGCCGGAGCACAGCGAGGCACAGGGAAGGGGGGACGCGCGAGGCGAGGGACGGCCGGAGAGGCCGGGGCGGGGGCGGGGGAGCCACACTCAGAGGCCACGACAGGCTGCGTGTGCGTGCCGAGGCGAAGTCCCTCGGCGTGCGGGGCGAGCATGGTGGGGGCATCTCAGACAGGGGTCCGAGCAGATGGGGCCCGACCCCCATCTGCTCCGACCCCATCTAGAAAGCCTAGACATGGGGCATGCCCACCCCTCCAGGGCACGCTTCGGACTGTGAGCCCTTGCGCCCAGCCCTCGCGGCCACGCACCTCCAGGTGAGGAGCACTCTGCGGGGCTGCGGTGGAGAGGAGGAGGGAGAAGAGAGGGAGGAGAGAGGAGAAACGGGGAGAGAGGGAGCAGGAGGTGGGAGGGGGGATGGAGGTGAGACGGAGAGAGGGGGGGAGGAGAAGGGAGGATCGACGGAGGGAAGACGAATGAGCGAGCGAGGAACGGAGTGCGGACGGCATCGTGCGCCCCCCTCCCCCTTTCTGAGGCGCGGGCCAACATCGAAAGCGCCCACGCGCTTGGCCGAATACAGCATGGGCCGCAGCGGGAATCCACCAGGACCCTCCCTGGGTCAATCGGTCTTCCTGCTCCCCCTCCTGCTCCTCTTCTTCCTCCTCCTCCTCATCTTCTCCCATGTCCTAATATTTGTCGTGCTCCTCATCCTCTCCGCCCTCCCCCCTCGCCTCCTCCCCATTATCCTTGCCCCCCCAAAGACTCCCCCGCGCGAGGTCCCGCGCGCGCACTTACGCACTTGCGTACGCGGGAGAGGGGAAAGGAGAAAGAAGAGGAGGAGGAGGAGGAGCAGGAGAAGGAGGAGGAGGAGGAGAAGGAGCGGCGCTCAAGGCTCTGGCCTGAAGAGCCGAGGACCCAAGGATTAGTGCAAGCCAGCTGACGGGATGAAGAACACCGAGCATTTGTAACGTCAGCCTCGTTTGTTCACGTGTGCCTCCAACACACGGCGAGAACTCCCTTGTGCAGGAAAATCGACTGCGAACGCTGGGAATGCTGTTCAGCGGTATGACAGAGGATGGTGCCGAGACTGAAGGCGTGCTTGAGAGGCGTCGGGCGCGATGTCCGACCAGCCAGCGTTAGCATGCCAGGCCACCCATGGAAGGCCCAGGGCCAAGGGCCGAGTCGACGACAGGAACACGACCATGACCACTGCGATCCTGTGCGACCTGTGCAGTGCCGTTTCGGTTTTATTGGGGCTGGCTTGAAGCGGAGCATTGTGCCCGATTGCAGCTCCGCTGTCAGCAGATTCATCTAATGATTCCATTCGTGGCAGATCGATTGAATCGCAAAAATTGAGGGCTTGCAAGACGCAAACGCACGAAAACAAGTCAAGGCAATCGGGAGGAGGAGGAAGAGAAGGAGGAGGAGGAGGAGGAGGAGGATGTGGAGGAGAAGGATGAACGGCCGAGTCAAAGTCAATCATTGGGCAACTTTCTCAGCCGCTGCCTGCGCTCTCACGACTGTTCGCTGGACCTGGAGTTGCTGACGGCCTGCTGGTGCAGTGCCCCCTCCAGATGCTGTGCTGCGAATCGATAAACAATATGGATTCTTCAGAAATGGGAACTCAACTACAATGTTCATGTTAAGACTGTTCGCTCGTATCTGACCGCGTACCATTCAGCACGTGTATCCCAAATCCTCCATAACCCGCCCTCTTCGTCTTCGATCGTACTTCCCTTGGGGGTATATCTGGCCTACCTGCCGCATGTAGTTGGCGCAGCCGCTCAAACAGAGGGAGGGAGGAGGAAGAGACAAGGTAGGGAGAAAGATAGAGCACGAGAAAGACTTGCAGGAGGAAACTTAGGAGCAGAAGTACGAGCGGCAGAACCAGACGAGGTCGTCGGGCGGACGGACCCTAACGGGCAGATCGGGCAGATGGGCCCAGACGGCCAGATCGAGCGGGCGGGCCGCTAAACCCTCAATCCAACTCCGAACGATAGTGCGATTCCCAAATGAATCGCGAATAAGGCCAAAGCGAGAGCGTGATTCCTGAGTCTCGAGGGAACGGCGCCGCAATACATTGTGAAGAAGTATGTACCAGGCGGGAGCGCTTCCTATATAAGTTGTGAGGAACTCCGGCGAGACAACGCGATTTTGGAATAAAGCGTGAAAAAGTGTCACGCGGGAGCCGCTGTTGCTGTGAACTGGGGGCCAGGGGCCAAATGCGAGCCCAAAGAGTTCCCCTGATAGTAAGCAGGGTGCGAGCCCCGGAACACTTTAGTTGAAAATCGCAATGGGAACTGGGGGGATCCACAATAGTTCTTCGCAGATAAACTCAAAAAAACACTCATTTCAAGACTGTACGCTCTGATCTGATCGCGTGCCATTCAACACAAATATCCCCAACCCTCGATACCTGCCCTCTTCGTCTTCGATCGCACTACCCTTGGAGTATATCATCCCTACCTGCGTTGTGCAGATGGGGCAGCCCCTAACACAGTGAAGTGCGGGAGGATGAAAGGAATGGACAAGGGGGAGGTAGAAGGATAGAGGCCGAGAAAGGTTAGCAGGAGGAGGGTTAGGAGCAGGAGTACACGTGGCAGAACCAGACTGGCGCATCGGGCGTGTAGACCCTAATTTGCGACTCGGGAATGCGGGCCCAGGCGGCACGATCGAGCAGGCGGGTTGAAATACATTGTGAGGATGTATCAGGCAGGAGTCGTTGTTGCTTTAACTCCGGGGCCAGATGGCCAGTTTGACCGTCGAGACTTTCCCAAATAAACCAGCTTCGAGCCCCGGGAGGGGCACTTCATGAAATCGGAAAAAAGCTATGTGCGCCGCGAAGGGGGGATCAACAAACAATAAGTATTCTTCAGACACGAAAGTTCAACAAACCTTACCATCCGAGATCGACAAGGAAGGGGATGAGGAGAGGGGTCAGGGAGGTGGTTGGAGGAGGGAAGCCGAAAACGACGACGACGACACCTAAGCAGGGACAAAAATACCCATACCGCACCACTTCCTGGACCTCTCCCATGGTGACCGCCTGACCGGGACTTCGAGGCAAATCCAGCCGTGGCCATGATAGAAGGGCAACGTGCCGGTACTCATTCCCTCTCGCAACGGCGATCACGATCCCAGCGATCAAGTGGAGCCCGAAGAAGCCCTCCCTCCTCAAAAGGGCCTCGGAGAGGCCAGCAGGCACCGCGGATGTGGTGCGCTCCGCGCCAGGGCTGAACCACTCGTGCCGCAGGGCGTGGTCGGCCGTGGCCCTGGCGGCACAGTCGCGCTCGAGCAGCTCCCTGATCAGGTCCTCGCGGTGGGACGCAGGAGGACATGCGGCGGTCTCTTTCCGTGACGGCCCCTGTTCTGGTTCCTGACACCGCGCGGATCGATCCGCCTCGAACGCTCGGCGGCGCTTCGATCGCTGGATCGTTCCATGCTGTCCGACTCTGGGCCGCAGGCGACTCTCGACCTTGAACGCTCGCGGCGGGATCACTGCCGCGTCAGCGCGGCACGGACCTGCCGTACTCGTGCTGTGCGCCTCCCCCCCCCCCTGGAAGCGCGCCCCGAGGCGAGCACGCGCATCCCGGACGTCTGAGCGCTCAGCATCTCCCAGACAGCGTGGCCAGAAAGCGCCCGCATCCGGGCACATACCAGAAGACTTCGGAACGCGCGCGTCGCCCCTGGGGAGGCGGGCGCACACACGGTTGAAGCAGTTGTTGGGTGATGCCGATCCTCGTGAGACGGAAGCAGGACGAAGGCCAAATCGGAAAAGGGGTAAATCGGGAAATCTCTGAGACTCAGCGGGCCTGGAGGATGCATCGGGCGCCACGGCAGTGCCAGAGTGCTCCAGAACGCTCTGAGGGCGCTCCAGAACCCCCTGGAGCGATTTATCACCATCCTGAGCATGCCCGACCTCGGCCAGAGAAAAAAACAACTGTGGACCTGGAGCGGCATGGACTGCAGTAGAGAGGAGTGGAGTGGAAAGGTATGGGATGAAATGGAATCGAGGGGCGAAGGGAGCTGTAAGGAGGGGGAAAGGAGGAGGGAGGGGGTAGGAGGGAAAGGTAGAGGAGAGGATGATGGAGGCGGAGGGGGATTTTTGTTGGAGCTCCACGCCCGCGTCGAAGTCCTCTTAGCGAGGAACAGGCGCCCTCCCGCTATGGTGAAGAGCGGGGGGGGCCGAAACTGCATCAGGCGTGAGCGCTGAAGCATGGCAGCAAATTGTAAGTGTCCAGAGCGACACCCGCTGCTCGCAGCCTGTAGTGCGGGCGACGCCCACTGCACAGCGCACCCCAGCGATATCCCGCAGCTCGAGATGGCGGCGGTTGGCACTTGGCCCCGAGGCCTCGCACCGACGCACCGCTGGAGTGAGACTTGCACCGCGTGCAGATAGAAAGGACAGAACCATCGGAGCAATCGAACGCGATCGTGCGGTGCTCGAGGGCGTCCTGGCGCGAGGCTTTTTTCCATTTCAACCCTTAAAGAGTTTTCCTGCAGGGACTGGGGCGGCGACAGCCTGCAGAATGACGTCCCTGCCCAAATCAGGCAGAGATCTCAAGGCCAAATGCAGGAGTCCTGCAGATGGAAAAAGCAGCGCGGGCCGCCCGCCCTCAACTGTGCAAAAGGACGGTCGGTCAACCAGCCAGGGTGCTGCCGCTGCCTGAGGCGTTGGGGCTAGGAGCTCGTAGCTCCAGTCCACAGCAACACCTCGACCCGAGCCACGGCCGGGAAAGACCTGAGCCTGCCCCCGTGCTCGGCGAAAAAATTGAGCCCACCCACGAGTGCGCCACGCCTTCCCCCTGAGTCGGGGTGCCTGACACGCGTGCCGAACGGGACCCGCGCGCGCGCACGAGACGGCCGCGCGATGCGTGCGGTGGGTCACGGCGTTGGGGCCAGGAGCACGTAGCTACCTGGCCGCGGCAACACCTCACACGAGCCACAGTCAGGATGAACCAAAGCCCACCCCCGTGCTCGGAGAAAGAAAACGTGCACACGAGAGAGCGCACACGCCTTCCCCCTGAAGCGGGGTGCCTGACACACGTGCAGGACGAGACGCGCACGCACACGAAGGGCAGCACTCTGCTCACGAACACAAGGGCCGCCCACACAAGGACGACGAGATCTGCCATCCCAGGTGCAGGAAGCGCCAGGACGACGGCAGGCCTCGCCCTAGATGTAGGGCAAGCACCAGAAACTTCCACTAGGAGACAACTGAGAGGCCCGAGGCCGAGAAATACAAACAAAATAAACGACGACCACCCACACAAGGACGACGAGGCCCGCAGTCCCTGGCGCAGCAAGCGCCAGGACGACTGCCGACCTCGCCCCAGATGTGGGGTATTGCACGGATGCCTGCCGAAAGGGTCAGTCGCATCGGGCCGCGCATCGTAATACAATAATGAGATGGCGCTACATACGCCTGGATAGAACAAAATGAGAAACGAATATGAACTGTCCGACTCCTCCTGGCGGTGATTCGCAGCGGAGGATTGATTGTCCTGTCGCAGCTCTTGGTGGGTTCCCCGTTGATGCAGCGCCTGAAGAAGCTCCGAGGCCACCTCCTGCTGTCGAGCCCCCTCCTCAGAATCCGTGTCCTGCGGGGGTCCCGAGGGAGCAGGAAGGTGCCTATAGGGGCCTCGGGGAAGGCGCTCAAGGTCTTGAAAAGAGATTGGGCAATATACTCCAATGCTGGCGCCTCGGCGGCAGAGGGCGCGGCTGGCACGCGCTCAACCTCGGAGAGATCCAAGGCTGGCCAAAGGTGCAGCACGTGCGCAAACGAATCGTCTGGCGCGCGAAAAAGACGGGTTTCTCCGCAGCATCCAGCTGATCCTGGCAAGACGGGTGCAGACGAACAGCGTGCTTGGCCGCAACGTCTGCATGGTGGTTGCCGAAGCGCTTCCAACGCTCGACAGCATCGATTCCGCTCTCATCTATATTTTTATGAGCGGCTACCTTGAAGCACTGGGCAGGCTTGATGCCCTGGGCGTCAAGTTGCAAGAACGCTCCTGAGTAGGCCCTTTTGCCCGAGAGTTGCTCTTCTCTGGGCCGACTGGCCAGCTCGACAACATTACTGCAATCAGACTTCACCGAGATCTTAGAAGAGGCTAGCGCTTTGGCCCATGTCCAGCAGCTGAATTCGGCTGACTGGGGCGTCTGAGGATACGGCGGGGGCCCGAACTGGGGCCCTGAATTCAGCCACAGAAACACCCAGACTGTCAACCATAACAACAATGCTGGCGGCACGAGAAAGCTCGCGAATGACGTGCCTGCTGCTAGACCCGTCGATGAAAATTATCCCGGCAAAGCAACCTAACAGCGATATGTAGAAGCATATCTGAAAGCATTCCCCATAAGATTCAGATGAAAATCCAGTTGTAGAATTCTGCTGTTCTCGCAGTCGTAGTCGCATTCGCGATGACAATCGCAGCGGCAACGGCAGTCGCAGTCATAGCCTCAGCCTCAGCCTGCCTCAGCCTCAGCCTCAGCCTGCCTCAGCCTCAGCCTGCCTCAGCCTCAGCCTCAGCCTGCTTCAGCCTCAGCCTCAGTCTGCCTTCAGCCTCGGCCTCAGCCTCAGCCTGCCTCAGCCTCAGCCTGCATCAGCCTCAGCCTCAGCCTCAGCCTGCCTCAGCATCAGCCTGCCTCAGCCTCAGCCTCAGCCTGCCTCAGCCTCAGCCTCAGTCTGCTTCAGCCTCAGCCTCAGTCTGCCTTCAGCCTCGGCCTCAGCCTCAGCCTGCCTCAGCCTAAGCCTGCCTCGGCCGCAGCATCAGCCTGCCTCAGCATTCAAAATGTGGCCCAGGAATGGAGTTCTGGGAACTAGAAGAACACGAAGTGGCCTACAGTTGGCTCAGGGCATTCAAAATCATGCCCAGGAATGGAGTTCTGGGAACTCGAAGAGCACGAAGTGGCCTACAGTTGGCTCCGGGCATCCAAAATGTGGCCCGGGAATGGAGTTCTGGGAAATCGAAGAGCACGAAGTGGCCTACAGTTGGCTCCGGGCATCCAAAATGTGGCCCGGGAATGGAGTTCTGGGAACTCGAAGAGCACGAAGTGGCCTACAGTTGGCTCCGGGCACTCAAAATGTAGCCCGGGAATGGAGTTCTGGGAGGTCGAAGAGCACGAAGTGTGTGACTGTTGACGAAAAACGAGCCCGGCTCTGTTCCCGGTTCTCCAGAATGTGGCCCGGGAATGGAGTTCTGGGAAGTCGAAGAGCACGAAGTGTGTGACTGTTGGCGAAAAGCGAGCCCGGCTCTGTTCCCGGTTCTCCAGAATGTGGCCCGGGAATGGAGTTCTGGGAGGTCGAAGAGCACGAAATGTGTGACTGTTGGCGAAAAACGATTCCCGGTTCTCCTCCCCGGCACCCGCCCAGACCCCCCTGTGGAGTCCAGATGCTCTCTTTTGACCCTACTAGAAACCTATCAGCAAACGCTGTTAGGTAAAAACACCCCAGACCTCGGTGCCTGCTTCGAGACCCGAGGGAGAGGCGGAAGGGGAGGAGGGCGGCAGGAATTGTTGTGAATAAATTATCCCGGCAAAGCAACCTAACAGCGATGTGTAGAAGCATATCTGAAAGCATTCCCCTTAAGATTCAGATGAAAATCCAGTTGTAGAATTCTGCTGTTCTCGCAGTCGTAGTCGCATGCGCGATGACAGTCGCAGCGGCAACGGCAGTCGCAGTCACAGCCTCAGCCTCAGCCTGCCTCAGCCTCAGCCTCAGCCTGCCTCAGCCTCAGCCTGCCTCAGCCTCAGCCTCAGCCTGCTTCAGCCTCAGCCTCAGTCTGCCTTCAGCCTCGGCCTCAGCCTCAGCCTGCCTCAGCCTCAGCCTGCATCAGCCTCAGCCTCAGCCTCAGCCTGCCTCAGCATCAGCCTGCTTCAGCCTCAGCCTCAGTCTGCCTCAACCTCAGCCTCAGTCTGCTTCAGCCTCAGCCTCAGTCTGCCTTCAGCCTGCCTCAGCATTCAAAATGTGGCCCAGGAATGATGTTCTGGGAACTTGAAGAGCACGAAGTGGCCTACAGTTGGCTCCGGGCATTTTTTTTATATATATTTAAAAAAAAAAAAAAAAAAAAAAAAAAAAAAAAACATGAATTTAGTTCTGGGAACTAGAAAAACACGAAGTGGCCTACAGTTGGCTCTGGGCATCCAAAATGTGGCCCAGGGATGGAGTTCTGGGAACTTGAAGAGCACGAAGTGGCCTACGGCTGGCTCCGGGCATCCAAAATGTGGCCCGGGAATGGAGTTCTGGGAACTCGAAGAGCACGAAGTGGCCTACAGTTGGCTCCGGGCATTCAAAATGTGGCCCGGGAATGGAGTTCTGGGAACTTGAAGAGCACGAAGTGGCCGACAGTTGGCTCCGGGCATTCAAAATCATGCCCAGGAATGGAGTTCTGGGAACTCGAAGAGCACGAAGTGGCCTACAGTTGGCTCCGGGCATTCAAAATGTGGCCCGGGAATGGAGTTCTGGGAACTCGAAAAACACGAAGTGGCCTACAGTTGGCTCCGGGCACTCAAAATGTAGCCCGGGAATTGAGGTCTGGGAGGTCGAAGAGCACGAAGTGTGTGACTGTTGACAAAAAACAAGCCCGGCTCTGTTCCCGGTTCTCCAGAATGTGGCCCGGGAATGGAGTTCTGGGAGGTCGAAGAGCACGAAATGTGTGACTGTTGGCGAAAAGCGTGCCCGGCTCTGTTCCCGGTTCTCCAAAATGTGGCCCGGGAGTGGAGTTCTGGGAGGTCGAAGAACACGAAGTGTGTGACTGTTGGCGAAAAACGATTCCCGGTTCTCCTCCCCGGCACCCGCCCAGACCCCCCTGAGGAGTCATGATGCTATCTTTTGACCCTACTAGAAACCTATCAGCAAACGCTGTTAGGTAAATTCTGCACCCCACCCTTAGCGTATCCCCACAAGACGTACCAACGGCCACACGGCTCCCAGGCAGCAGTTTACCCGTCCACCTGCCAAAAGCACAAGCACTGGTGATCCTACGAAACTGCAAGCTGCACAAGCAGTTCGAGCTCAGGATCCGCTGGGGGAAGACGCAGGTGAAAGCAAGTACTGTGGAACTTGACCGGCACCCAGCTAAACCACAACCACCTTCCGAACGTCTTGCTGCGCCGCCCATATCTAGGCCTCCGACAGCTGGTAAGGCCCAGCCCCTCGCACTCCGTCCACTCCTCTTCCCGTTCTCATCCCCCTCCTCCTCCTCCTCCTTCTCCTCTTCCTCCTTCTCCTCCTCGTACTTCTCCCCGCCTCCACTAGCCTCCTCCTTCTCCTCCGCCTCATGCTTCTCCTCCTCATCCCTCACCTCGTCCTCCTCCTCATCATCATCATTACCATCACCAGCAGCATCATCATTTGCATCATCAGCATCACCAGCAGCATCATGATCATAATCAGCATCATCATCATCATCATCATCATCATCATCATCATCATCAGTATCATCATCATCATCCTCATCAGCGTCATCATCATCACCATCGTCGTGATGAACGTCGTCGTCGTCATCACCACCATCACCATCATCATCACCATCATCATCAACAGCATAAGCATCATCGTAATCATCATCACCACCATCAGCCTCATCATCATCAGCGTCATAATCATCATCATCGTCGTCGTTATCGTCGTCGTCGCCATCGTCGTCGTCGTCATCGGCGGCGGCACCATCGTCGTCGTCGTCGTCGTCATCGTCACCACCGCCACCATCATCGCCAGCATCAACAACATCATCTTCATCATTACGCCTGCTGCCCGTCATGCTTGTTCGCCTCCTCGTGCTCCTCATCCATTCCTCCATCCCTCCTCCTCCTCCTCCCTCTCTTCCTCCTCCTCCACCTCCTCCTCCACCTCCTCAATCGTCATGCCCCATCTGCCTCCCCCCCCCATCCGTCGTCTCCTCCTCCTACTCCTCCCCCTCCTCTGAAATTATCACCATCACCCCTCATACTCCTCATAAACCTCATCTGCCTCGTCTTAGATGTTGCTTGTCCTCCGCATCCTCATCCTTCATCCGTTCGCCTCCTGCTGATCATCCTCATCATCCTCATCGCCTCCCACATCATCACCATCGCTTCCTGTGCCCGTATTATCCACATCCACCTCGCCCTCCTCCTCTTCCTCCTTCTCATTATCAGCATCATCATAATCGTTAGCACCACCACCATCATCATCAACATGGCAATCACCATCGCCATCAACCTAACTAACAACATTGTCAGCAGCATCATCGTCATGAGCATCATCATCACCATAACCATCATCAGCAGCGACAACATCATCATCGGCATCACCATCATCAACGGCATCATCACCCTCATCATGATCATCATCATCATCATCAGCGCCATCACCCCCATGATCCCCATCATCATCAAACGCATCAACAAGCGCATCCTCATCATCAGCAGCAGCATCATTATCATCACCATCACCATCACAAGCACCATCATCAGTATCAGCAGCATCATCATCACAATCTTTACCTTCAGCGTCATCATCGTGATCATCGTCATCATCATCATCATCATGATCATCATTATCATACTCGCCATCGTCATCGTCATCGTCAGCATCATCGTCGCCGTCACCACCATCACCACCATCATCATCAGCAGCGACAGCATCATCACCAGCAGCATCATCGTCAACATCAGCTGCATTGACATCAGCATCGCCATCAGCATCAACACCATCAGCAGCAGCAACACGATGATGAACATCATCAGCATCATGATCATCAATATCGTCCTAATCACTATCAGCCTCAGCAGCATAATAACCAGCATCATCATCACAATCAGCATCATCAGCATCAGCATCATCATCATCAGCAGCATCACCAGCATCATCAACGGCATCATCAGCATCGTCATCGGCATCGTCAGCATCATCATCATCGTCGTTGTCGTCATAACCACCACCACCACCATCATCATCACCATCATCATCATCAGCATCGTTCACACCACGACCATCATCGCCACCACCATCGCCATCGCCGTCATGATCGCCAGCATCAGCATCGTCAAGATCATCATCATCACCTCCATCATCATCAGCAGCGACAGCATCATCACAATCGGCACCAACATCATCAACGACATCATTACCACCATCAGCATCATCTGCATCGCGATCATCGTCACCATACGCAACAGCAAGATCATCCTCATGATCAGCAGCAGCATCATTACCATCATCATCATCACCATCACCATTACAATCACCATCATGAGCATCAGCAGCATCATCACCATCAGTACCATCAGCATCAGCATCATCATCATCATCATCATCATCATCATCATCATCATCATCGTCAGCATCATCGTCGTCGTCACCTCCATCGCCACCATCGGCAGCATCGTCAACATCATCATCATCGTCAGCATCAGCTTCATTGTCATCATTATCGTCATCAGCATCAGCATCAGCATCAGCCGCAACACGATGCTCATCGTCATCATCAGCATCATCATCATGGGTATCGTCATCATCAGTCTCAGCATCAACAGTGTCATAATCAGCATCATCATCACAATCAGCATTATCGCCATCAGCATCATCATCAGCATCAGCATCAAAATCATCAGCAGCATCATCAGCAGCATCATCACCATCGTCATCGGCATCGGCATTATCATGATCATCATCATCATCGTCGTCGTCATCACCACCACCATCATCACCATCATCATCGTCAGCACCATCAACATCATCGTAATCAGCACCACCACCATCATGATCATCATCACCACCATCACCACCATCATCACCATAATCATCATCATCATCATCATCATCATCAGCATCATCATCATCATCATCATCATCATCATCATCATCATCATCATCATCATCATCATCATCATCATCATCATCATCATCATCATCATCATCATCATTTGGTTCTCCCGCCCCCTGTGCCCAGGATGCGCAAGGCCAAACGGGGAACAGCTGGCGCCCTAGTCCACTCAAGAATCAGCAGCCGCCGTCCTTCAAGCACTCGGAAATGGGCGAGCCATTGGACAGGTCGAGGCTGGTCTTTGGCCTTCGCGGCAGGACACACACGGGATGCACTGCACACGAGGAACACGAGGAGGAGGAGGTGCTCGGCTAAGACAATATGTCTGCGGGGCAACGCTCCCCCTCCTCCTCCACCTCCTCCTCCTCCTCCGCCTCCTTCGTTTACTGCACAACTAATGCCGCCGTGCGATGTGCACACACTTCAACAGACTTGCATTGCAGCCGGCGTATCGCACGGCATTTGATGATTGACTATCGCATGCCCCGACTCGGATAGTAGCCCCTGACCCAGACCATCTCCCCCACAACAAGCCCCAATCACCATCCCAAGGGGTCACGATACTCTTGTTGCCACACACACCACGCACCCCGCAAAGCAATCGACACCAACTTTATAATGTAGTTTCAGTTTCTGGACTGAAGTCCCTCGTGAATGATGACTTCACATGCACGGGAAGTGTTTTTGCTAAGAAGAAGCATTTGCAGCCTCCTTTTTACAACGTATGGCTTACAATCTCTCTCTCTCTCTCTCTCTGTCTCTCGCTCGCTCGCACGCTCGCGCGCTCTCTCGCGCTCTCCATTTCTCTCTCTCTTTCTCTCTCGCTTTCTTTATGTTCCTTTTACCTTCTTCCCCGATATACACAGATGTTCTACATGTGCTAGAACCACGCGCGCGCTTAGGTTCTAGCACGCCCGAGCCCTTGACAAACTGGCGCGTGCAGTTCTTGGGGGGCATCTTGGGGGCCTTGTGGGTGCTATTGGGAGGTTCTGAGGGTTCCTTAATTCCAAAGCCCGTGTCACAGATTTCTTCCCATGGGGCTCTCTCAAACCACCAAGTGGTACCGAGGAAGCTCCACAGGGTGGGGCTCTTGGGGGCCATGTGGGGGTTCCTGGGAGCTTCTTGGGGGCCTCTGAGGGCCTCTTTGGGGTCTCTAGGGGACCTCTTGGGGCCTCTTGGAGAACTTTGTGGGGCCTGTTGGGGACTCCTGGGGTCCTCTAGGGGCGAAGAGCTTCAAATGTCCGCTCGGGGACCCCCTCTGGGCCCCTTTCTTGAGGCGCCCTGGGGCCCTCTTCGGCCGTCTTGGAGCCCAGCCTGGGCCCGCCCCGAAACGGGCCACGACAGGCTAAGGCGGTCCCAAGAGGGCCCAAGACGGCCCCAAGGCCCCGAAGACGCCCAAGATGCCCTCAAGACGGCCGACGAGGACTCCAACGCGCTCCAGGACGAACTTAAGAGGCTCCCCAACCGTTTCCACCTGTCTCGGCGCCCGCTCGGGGGCCTCTGAGGCCGTGCTGGGGCGATACTTGGGGCGTATGGGACCATGTTGGAGTGTCGTGAAGCCGACAATGGAGAAACGCTGAAATCCATCAAAAACCTCAGGATGAATAATTCATGTTGCCTCCTGGGGCCCTCTTAAAAGGCCTCTTGGAGCTTCTTGGGGCGTGTTGGAGGCCCCGTGGGCCGTCCGGAAGCCATCGTGAGCGTCTTGGAGCGGGATTTCGGCGATTCTCGGCCCTCTTGGAGCCTTTTGTGGCCTCTGAAGACCCTGCTGTTGTGTTTTGGTGGCTGTCTTGGGCCGTCTGGGAGCGTCCCCAGAGACCCAGGACGCCTATAAATCGTCTTTTTCAGCCGTTTCGGCGGTCGCTTAGGCGCTTCTAAGGCCGTGCTGGGGCGATACTCTGTGAAAATACAGAAACACTGAAATCAAGCGAAAACCTTAAGAAAATCACTGAAATTGTGCCTCTTGGGACTCTCTTGGGAGGCCTCTTGGAGTGTTCTTGGAACGTGTTGAAGGTTCCTTGGGCCGTCCAGAAGCCGTCGTGGGCGTCTTGGACAAGATTTCGGCGATTCTCGTCCCTCTCGGAGCGTTTGGGGGCCTCTGGGAACCCTGTTTTGGGGGATGTCTTGGACCGTCTGGGGGCGTCCCCGGAAGCCCGGGATCCCCATAGAGCGCCTTCGTCTGCTGTCTTGGCGCCCGCTTAGGGACTTCTCTGGGGCGATACTTGGGGCGTCTAGGACCGTGTTGGGGCGTCTGGAAGCTGAAAATACAGAAACGCTAGAATCAAGAAAAAACCACAGGAAAATCATGGAGCTGTGCCTCGTGGGGCCCTCTTGGAAGGGCTCTTGGAAGCTTCTTGGGGCGTGTTGGAGGTTCCTTGGACCGTCTGGAAGCCATCGTGGGCGTCTTGGAGCGAGATTTCGGCGATTCTCGGCCCTCTTGGAGCGTTTGGGGGCCTCTGGGACCCTGGTGTTCTGTTTTGGGGACTTGGGGGCGTTCCCAGCCCGGTCCCTCCATGCTCTGGGGAAGTCCCTGGGCGCGGCCAGGAGGCCTCGTCCCCCAGGATATTTGTAGCCGACTTCTCCAGCTAACGTAGCCGACTTCTCCAGCGCCTTCCTGCGCCGGGAGGCGTCCACGTATCCAGGACAGGCGCCCGACGGCGGAGCCGAAACGAGTCGCACGCAGCAGATGCCGTACACCCCCCTTTTCCCTTTTTCCCCCTCCCTTCCCCCCGTCCTGCTAGACCCAGACATCCGGCGTCCCGATTTCTTCGAGGCGCGGGCCTCGGAGCTCTCGACCGCTGCCTTGGCCCCGGCGTTGCATCCCGAGTCGGTCGTCGACGGCCCCGAGGCCCTTCAGGAGCCCCGAGGCCGACACCGATGAAAGACCGCCGGCTCGATTTTTGTTTGAGACGCGGGATGCCTGTGGCATGGAGTCGGAGGGTTGCGCCGCATCGCAGATGCATCGGCGGCGCCATCGGCGACGTCGGCGATGCAGCTTCTGTCAGGGGAGGAAAAGCCACCCCGGCCCCGACAAGTGGCGCTTACGAAACGGCCCCGGGCGCTTACTAAACAGCCCTGGCTTGTTCGGTTCCTTCCTTGGGCGCGCTCACTGAACGGCTTCGCCTGTCGGGGTGATCCTGATGGCGGTGGATGTTCTGCCCTCCTAGTCTGGGGACGGCCAGAGTCAGGGGACGATTTTACCTAACAGCTCTTGCTGATAGGTTTCTAGTGGTCTCAAAAGAGAGCATCATGACTCCTCAGGGGGGTCTGGGCGGGACCCGGACAGGCTGCATCCGAGGCTGCCGCCGAAGGCGAAATCGCTTGGGACATCCTCGCAAAATCGCTCTTGGTGCTCCCAGAACTCCATTCCCGGGCCACATTTTGGATGCCCGGAGCCAACTGTAGGCCACTTCGTGCTCTTCGACTTCCCAGAACTCCATTCCCGGGCCACATTTTGGATGCCCGGAGCCAACTGTAGGCCACTTCGTGCTCTTCGATTCCCAGAACTCCATTCCCGGGCCACATTTTGGATGCCCGGAGCCAACTGTAGGCCACTTCGTGCTCTTCAAGTTCCCAGAACTCCATTCCTGGGCATGATTTTGAATGCCCGGAGCCAACTGTAGGCCACTTCGTGTTCTTCTAGTTCCCAGAACTCCATTCCTGGGCCACATTTTGAATGCTGAGGCAGGCTGATGCTGCGGCCGAGGCAGGCTGAGGCTGAGGCAGGCTGAGGCTGAGGCCGAGGCTGAAGGCAGACTGAGGCTGAGGCTGAAGCAGGCTGAGGCTGAGGCTGAGGCAGGCTGAGGCTGAGGCTGAGGCAGGCTGATGCTGAGGCAGGCTGAGGCTGAGGCTGAGGCTGATGCAGGCTGAGGCTGAGGCAGGCTGAGGCTGAGGCCGAGGCTGAAGGCAGACTGAGGCTGAGGCTGAAGCAGGCTGAGGCTGAGGCTGAGGCAGGCTGAGGCTGAGGCAGGCTGAGGCTGAGGCTGAGGCAGGCTGAGGCTGAGGCTGTGACTGCGACTGCCGTTGCCGCTGCGACTGTCATCGCGAATGCGACTACGACTGCGAGAACAGCAGACTTCGACAACTGGATTTTCATCTGAATCTTAAGGGGAATGCTTTCAAATATGCTTCTACACATCGCTGTTAGGTTGCTTTGCCGGGATAATGTTTAACTATTTTTGATTACCTTTTAACATTTGTTGGGACATTTCTTTATTTGTGACGATCTTTGAATATTTTTACCTAACAGCGAAGACTGATAGGTTTCTAATGGTGTCAAAAGAGAGCAGCAGATGACTCCACAGGGGGGTCCGGGCGGGACCCGGGGCGGCTGCCGCCGAAGCCCAAATCACCTGGGACATCCTCGCAAAATCGCTTTTGGCGCTGCTAGAACTCCATTCCCGGCGTACATTTTGGATGCCCGGAGCCAACTGTAGGCCACTTCGTGGTCTTCGAGTTCCCAGAACTCCATTCCCGGGCCACATTTTGGATGCCCGGAGCCAACTGTAGGCCACTTCGTGGTCTTCGAGTTCCCAGAACTCCATTCCCGGGCCACATTTTGGATGCCCGGAGCCAACTGTAGGCCACTTCGTGGTCTTCGAGTTCCCAGAACTCCATTCCCGGGCCACATTTTGATGCCCGGAGCCAACTGTAGGCCACTTCGTGCTCTTCGAGTTCCCAGAACTCCATTCCCGGGCCACATTTTGAATGCCCGGAGGCTGAGGCACTGAGGCTGAGGCTGACGCTGAGGCTGAGGCAGGCTGAGGCTGAGGCTGAGGCAGGCTGAGGCAGGCAGAGGCTGAGGCTGAGGCTGAAGCAGGCTGAGGCTGAGGCAGAGGCAGGCTGAGGCTGAGGCAGGCTGAGCTGAGGCAGGCTGAGGCTGAGGCTGAGGCTGATGCAGGCTGAGGCTGAGGCAGGCTGAGGCTGAGGCTGAGGCTGAGGCTGAGGCTGAAGCAGGCTGAGGCTGAGGCTGAGGCAGGCTGAGGCTGAGGCTGAGGCAGGCTGATGCTGAGGCAGCCTGAGGCTGAGGCTGAGGCTGAGGCTGAGGCTGAGGCTGAGGCTGAGGCTGAGGCTGAGAGGCAGGCTGAGGCTGAGGCAGGCTGAGGCAGACGCTGAGGCTGATGCAGGCTGAGGCTGAGGCAGGCTGAGGCTGAGGCTGAGGCTGAGGCTGAAGGCAGGCTGAGGCTGAGGCTGAGGCAGGCTGAGGTTGAGGCTGAGGCAGGCTGAGGCAGGCTGAGGCTGAGAGTGAGGCAGGCTGATACTCAGGCAGGCTGAGGCTGAGGCTGTGATTGCGAATGCCGTTGCCACTGCGACTGTCATCGCGAATGCGACTGCGACTGTGAGAACAGCAGAATTCTACAACTGGATCATGATCTGAATCTTAAGGATAATGCTTCCAGATATGCTTCTACACATCGCTGTTAGGTTGCTTTGCCGGGATAATTATATTTTTTAAATTTTTCGCCGCAGAATCCGCCTGAACATTGCCGTTTTTAATACATGCTCCGCGTGCGGATCATGTATTAAAGATGCAGGGATTTAGTATTAAGAACAACGATGAGTTCATGCATAAATTTATTCAGAAATCAATCATGAATTTCATATCATATATTTTTTTGAAAATCCAATGTATGAAAAACTGCCCTGTAGGGGGACATGCCAGACCCAACCCGGTGCGCGGGCCGCGCGCGGCCGCGGCCCAGGCCGCGCTGCGAGCGGGGGCACTGGGCCGAGGACGCCGTGTACGACAAGCAGTCCGGACCCCCCGCCTCGCCGGCGGCCACCGCCGGGGCCAGGCCGCCGCGGGGGTGCGCTGCTGTTCGTCCCCATTTTGGGTTAAGTCGGGCGTGCCCCTCTACGGGAGCAGTATTCAGAAATAGTAACAGTCTGGGGAGTTGTTTGCTATACATATATATATGTATAAATATACATGTTTAATGCTAGTGTATACACATATATATATGTGACGATATATATATAAGGAGAGAGAGACAGAAACAGAGAGAGAGAGACATAAATATATATATATAGACATGTATACTAGAACCATCGAGCGCGCTTCGCGCGCTTAACTTCTAGCTAGGCTTGATGGGCGAACGCATGGAATATCATCCTCCTCGCTTCTTGCATCCAGAACTCTCTTGGAGGCCCTGCGCAAGCCTCGGAATCGCATAGGTGGGGAACTGCGGAACGCAATAATTATTCATTGCCGTTAAGCATTCGACGATTTGGGGCCCTCGCAGGCTTCGTGGGTTCTTCTCTGGGGCCTTAATTGTTGTCTGTTGTGCAAGAACAAACGGGGGCGAACTTCGAAACGAAAAAACAAACGGAATGGTGGGATTTCTTTTTTTTTCAAGGTGTAGTGCCTGGGCTGTGGGTTAAACGTTTTCTTCATGCAAGCCACGGTCTGTTGGGATGCCTCTTGGGGCTTTCGGGCAGAAACAAGCAGGGGGTGAGTTTGAAAATGATCGAGGTGAAGGACCCAACAATTTGCAGTTGTGGGCACCGCAATTGAACATATTTTCTTCGGTGAAGCTCCCTATTGGGCCACGAAGCACTGCACTGGGTGGGTGTGACGCATGCGGGCGGTAGCACTGGGGTCGTCGGTGGAGCTCCCTATGGGGCCACGTAACGCTGTACTGGGTGGGTGGAAATACAAATTTCGGCTTCCGGGACGCACGTGGACGGTCCCATTGGGGGCTGCGGTGGAGCATCCTGACAAGCCACGAAAGATTGCACTGGGTGGGTGAAATAATGCCTAATTGATCGTGTGGGACGCATGCGGGCGGTCCCACTGGGGGCTTCGGTGGAGCTCCCTGTGGGGCCACGAAAATTTGTACTGGGTGGGTGAAACTGCCAAATTAGGTTTCCGGGACGCATGCGGACGGTACTACTGGGGGTTTCGGTGGAATTCCCTATGGGGTCACGAAGCGCTGTACTGGGTAAGTGAAACTGCCAAATGAAACATGCGGGACGCATGCGGGCGGTCCCACTGGGGGTTTCGGTGGAATTCCTTGTGAAGCCACGAACCGCTGCACTGGATATGTGAAAATGCAAAATTGTGTGTGTGGTGTGTGTGTTTGTGTGTGCTTGTGTGTGTTTGTGTGTATGGTTGTGTGTTTGTGTGTGTTTGTGTGTGTTGTGTGTTTGTGTGTTTGCGTGTTTGTGTGCTTGTGTGCTTGTGTGTTTGTGTGTGCGTGTGCGTGTGCGTGTGCGTGTGTGTGTGTGATTGTTGGTGTGAGTGGTGTGTGTGCGTGTGTGTGTGTGCGTGTGTGTGTGTGCGTGTGCGTGTGCGTGTGTGTGTGCGTGTGCGTGTGCGTGTGCGTGTGCGTGTGCGTGTGCGTGTGTGTGTGTGTGTGTGTGTGTCTGGGTGTGGGT